TGTCCCCGGGCCAAGGGAAGCACAGGAGCCCCTAAAAGCAGGGGTCAGGTCTCTTCTCAGGGGTGTTTCAGTGTCCTCCTTTGAGGCCTGCAAGAGAAGGGGCAGCCCCAATTACCTCGAGGGCTCAGCTGGTGTTGCACGGGGATGGGGAAACTGAGGCACGGAGGCAAAAGGTGCGATGCTGTGAATTCCTCCCTGCCCTGGCTCAGGCTGGGAGCTCAGGGGTTGCTGCACCTCTGCAGCCCATCTCTGGGGCCTCCTTCTCAGCTGTTGGCATCTGCAGACAAACGAGGGGATGGAAAGGGGGGGCCGGGTTGGGTTGGGGTCTCTGTTCTGATGGGATGTGCAAGCACCAGTCAGCCTGGAACGAGTCACTGCTCAGCACCAGGCAGGGCACTGAAACACCCCTGAGAAGGGGTTTTGGGGGGAGACAAGTCATATTCTGGGCTCAGGAGGGAGGAATTCCAGGGTGGGCACCTCTTGGGTCAGCAGCTTGAGCAAAAAGGCTCTTTTTTTGTTGTTGTTGTTGTTTTTAGCAGCATTTTTAACTTGGTGAGCAAGGAGAAAGAGCCTCGGTGGTGGCTCCACGACCAGCACCTAATGAGCCACTTTAATTTGCAGCAAGCAGGGCAGGAGCCCTGGAGCATCAGCCTTCACCCCCTGCCCCAGGGGTTCAGCTCTTCAGACCTTGGCATAATTGACTGGGGTGCTTGGAGGAGAAGTGATGAAGAGGTGGGTGCAGAGAAGCACAGATGCCATTCATCACGCTCCTGGTGTTTGGGGAGGGCAGGGGTTCATAGCCAGGAAACCTCAAGGAGCCTCTGCAGGAGGGAGAATTGTGCCTGTCCCCCTCACCAGTGGGTGCAGGAAGGTCATTGTCACCCCCCCTGGCTCCCAAACCCACTCCTCCCCCCAACCTGCTCCATGCAGACACCAAACCCAGCCTCAAACCCCTTCTTTCTGCTGCTTCCCAAACATGTGGAAACTGGGACCTCACTTTTTGGGATGAAAAGGGGTTTTTCCAGGGCATGGGGGCCCAGAGGGCAGGAGGGTCACAGTCCCATCCTGCTGCTCTCCCAGGCCATTGGTACCCAGTGGGTTTTGGGCAGATCATCAGAGTTTTATTTCATTTTTATTTTTAATTTTTAATCTTAAGTAATTTGTGATCTTGCTGGATTGAAAAGTGCAGCACAGGGGGAGGGGCTGGGCAGCCGTTTTTCATGAGGATCTGGAAGCTGTGGTGATAAAAGTCACTTAGCTTTAATTTACAGACATTATAAAAAAATTAGGAAAAAAAAAAAAAAGGAAACTGCTCTTGATTTCTAATATAATTAGATTTATTTTTAATGTGACCAGCCTGCCTTCCTCAGCACAGGAATAAAACACACCTCTGTGTTTTATTGCTGCTGCTTCATGGCAAAGGGATGTTTATGGCTTTGAGCTGATTTTAATGGTAGTTTTTTTCAAGGATCTGGCAGGTTACTGGGAGTTGTGGGACACCAGCTGAGGCCAAGGCCCCTCTTTAGTGCTGGAGAAAGTGAGTGGGAAGGTGGTGGGGTTCAACAAAAGGCTCTCAGCTACGTCCCAGTGAGGCTTGGACAAATTGGAGATGTTTGATGGGGACACCAAAGCAGCCTCCTTCTGCCTTGTGCAGCTGTTGCCCTGCTGGTGGAGGTGACCTGGAAGGAGAGAGGGTTATAAAAACCCACAGGGGTTGTTTTGTACTGCCTGAAGTTGCCCCATCAGGTTGCCCATGCAAACATATGGCTGGGAACATGTCAAACCCACCAGGACTTCAGCAGGCACCTCCCTGCCAGCAGGACAGCTCAGGAGGTGGGGATGTGTGCTCCATCCATTCAATCATCTGTTGATCCATCCAAGGTCACCCCCAGGACCCCTCTCAGCACCTCCAGAATGGCTCTTCCTGCCCCACATGGCACATACCAATCCCATCAAAGGTCCCAGGACCTCCTGCATCACCTGGAGAAGGACTCTGAATGCTCCCACCACCTGCCAGGGCCAACCCAGCATCGGGTCACAGCTGACTGCCTTCAGCTCATCTCACAATGAGAAAATTCCTGAGAAAATGCCCCAATTAGGTCAAGGAGGTGGTGGGATGACACCCCCACCCCCCCTCGCTGCCACCCTGAACCCTGCAGAGAACTATTCTGGCTGACAAAGGAGATGCTCTAAAGCCCAGGACTTCACCCCCTGCTTGCTGATGGGTTTCAGAGCTGTAAGTGGAGACGCGTGGGGATTGAGGTGGCATTTGTGGAGAGAGGC